GTTAGAAAAGAAAGAAAGAAAGAAAGTGTGATGATTGATGATTCGCAAGTGCAAACCTAAATAGAAATAGGCAGGCAGGTAGGCAACAATGAGATGGGAGTTAACATCAAAAATCAAAGTGTTGTTGTTGTTGACCCCAGGAAAGCGGCGAGGGTGGCGTAAATAGCGAGGCTGGAGATGGATGATGGTGATTGAAGATGGGTGGAGGGTGGTGTTGCTCTAATGCGATATGATGCATTCCTTCATTGGTAGCAGGATGCCTCGAGACCGCCCAAGGACTGGACTGAGTTCTCGACTTGGTTACCGGATCCTTGGATTATAGTGAGCGTCTCCTTGGTCTTAGCGAATAACTCGACAGGTCGGGAGATGACGGCTCGAGCAATGCCACGACGTCTCTTGATGTCGACAGTCTTGCGGGGCTTGTAGTTCCAGTCGGGGTGGGCTACTTTGTGGTTCTTCTTTGCAATCTCAGCCAACTTGGCATAGTGTTGACGGACGTTCAAGGACTCGTCGCACCACATGGAAGAGATGATGCCAGCTACAAACTTGTCAGATGCAACATGGTAGACTCATGCAGGGAACTCACAAATCTCATTGTTGGATTTATCGGGATTGGCAGCCTTGACCTTGGCGTGGTTGGCAGACCGATAAAGGATCCATGAATTCGGAGGACGTGGAATACGACCGTTGTTACCACGGTTGGCCGGAGTTGGGGGGACCGCGGGGGCAATCGGAGGTGGTTGAAAGTTGAAACTGACGCTACCCCGACCGGTGACGATGTTAAAGTGACGAGCTGGGGCAACTGGTGTGTCTGGGTCGCGGCGGTGGAGAGTGGCGCTCTTTGGGATGTTCTCAACACCATTACGTTGGATGTCTCCAACAAGCAGGGCAGTAGCCAGTGGCGATTCGGAGATGTGCATGAAACCGGTCATAACCCGCTCAGGGCCAATGAACATGACGCCATAATCCTTGTTGCAGAAGAGGAAAGGCACTTGGTTGTAGGCAGCCCTGGGAATTGATCAGTTAAAAGCGCAGAAATGTAACAGAAAACTCACGCAAATCGAGCAAAAGTCTCCTGGTGTTGCTCCGAGCTCATAGCATCCCAGAATGCTCGATCAATTTGGCCGACATCATTGCGGGAGGTCAATTGACTGATGAGCCGAACCCAGAACCATTCGTACTCGTTGTCAGTGACATACGCAGGCTGATCGACGATGAAGTTCATCGCGAAGTTCATCTTCGACATAGTTCCTCTTTGTATGATTAAAGAGTGATAATTCAGAAGTACAATTTCAAGGACAAAGGATGCGCGGAGGATGCAACTAACAAAGGTTGTGGTGGGGTCCTAATTCGAACGTCGATCGAAATTATTGTTTGTTTATGAAAGAAAATTCGCTGCGAGAAGCGGGCGTTGCAGAAGAAGGGAAAGAAAAGTCGCTTAATTTTTTTTTAGCGCGAAAGCAGCGCCGCTAAACAGTTGAAAGTGAATTAACCCTTTGTTCGAGATTTGAGAGACGCGGCAATAATCTTCTCGGGCAAAAGTGTTTAACTTCCCATTAGAGGCCAAAAGCTGTTTTAAAATGCCTTTTTATTAGCTCTTAATATAGCCTATTTTAAATTAGTATAAGTTAGTTTGTTTTATTGCTGTTCGGTATAAGTTAGTATATTTTTCAAATACTGCACTAGCTAAATTACATATAATAGTCAGCGACTATAGTATTTTTATAGTTTTATTTAATTATAAACGTAGAGCTAATAGTTTAATACGATTTTGTAGTAAATACGAAGCACTTACACGAAGTAACCGCTTGCTATTAATATAAGACGTTATTGCTGCATAATAGAGAAATTTAATTATAATAAATAAATAATAATTAAATTGATTTTATAGTAGGATAAATAGATGAGATGCAATGTAATATACAGTTAGTTAGTTATAGTAAGCAATAGAAAAGCTTCGGGCAACTATTTATTTACTTATCTACTACGTAATGTGATTCGTGAGGTTATATCTAGGTTTCTTAGCGATCCTAGAGATCGGGAGCAGCCGTAGCCGTGCAGGAGCTTGGCAGCGGCAGCGGCAGTAGCACAGCATCTGTGGGTGAAAATTCGGGGCAGTATAGAGGGCGGTGTGAACGCAACGACGCAAAAGAATACAACGATATAATAACAACCAACTATCATAATATCGTCGCCGCAAGAGAAACAAACGGAGCTTCTACGTGCTAGAGCCGAAGCGGAAGCGGAAGCGAAAGCCGATGATTTAAGCTTTAGTTCCGAGCTTAAATTTCTTAAAAAAACAATAAACTCGAGCACTTTGTGAATGGATGGATACGATATATAACAAAGCATAGTCTGGAGTTTTAAGTATCGATGGCATTAGTGGGCTAGCTAGGTGAATAGATAGATGGATGTAGTATATGCAATCAATCTCAACGCTGCGAGCCCCTTCTGGACCTGAATTCGAGACTGGACCTCGGGGCAGATCAGATCCGTGTCGAGCCGCGGAAGCGAGAACCTAGTCCTGCGCTTATTCAGAATCGGGTTCTGAGGCTGATGGACGGTCATCTTCATGCACACGATGCAACCCGTGACCAGGCGTGTAGTTGGACTCATGCTTCGGAGTCCGACCGAGATGGAATCTATGTTCAGGCACTTATTGCAGAGGTGGATGCCGAATTCTGATCTACTTCCCTCCCCCGACTGCAGCCTCAGCGGAAGCTCACATCTCCAGCATGCCGCCGGCTGCACGGGCGGAAACGGAGCCGAATTCGCCCCCGGGATCGTGGTGGACAGCGTCGCCATCACTGAACTCGGTGTCGTCTCAGCTGGCAGGCCCACACTCTCCACTTCGCGCTGTCGAGGGGATGCGGTGCTGCTCAACATCCCGATGATCACTCTCGTGCGGAGGGTGATGTGGGTCTGTCAGCTGAACGCGGGACAGGCGTCGGCGTCGGCGTCGGCGTAAGGCTCCCACTAGTTGCTGGAAGACCAGATACTCAGGTGTCTCGAGGCCCGGCAGCTATGGAATTCGAACACCTTTTCACCGTCAGGACCTCTATATGATCTTAGCGTCCGTAGTCTGGGACAAGGACTAGTATGAGTTCGATTATGAAGCGGCTCGGGTTGCGTTTAGCGCTAAGCTGAACATGTTCTGCTTCTCGTCGGCCAGAATAGGGGAGATGGCTGAATCCTCTGCTAAAGCGGGGACGGGCAAAGGGTTGCACTACTGTGTAAGTATCTCCTCTTTGCTAATATTTTGAGAAGTGCGATATTAAGATCTGGTCGAGCTAACGGGTCTCGGCAGGATATGGTTATAGTCATCGTATGGGGTGAGGACGGGCAGCCAGAGATCCAGATGCAATGAAAGAGAGAGGCCGCCAAAGGGATGCATAACTCGCTAAGTAGGTAGGATCTGAATTTTCCCCGCCCGCCCCCCTTCCCCTCGCTCTGTATTATAAAACTGTTTGTTTCGGCTGACACTGAACAGGCTATAGCACCCAATGTTCGAGACGACGACCGGTCTACCGCTCGTCTTTAATCCGATCATATTCCTTCTCGCTATGGCGCTAGCTAGTAACGCGTTCAAGGATTACCAGACCGACGATGAAATTTTCGCTCTCGAACCCCCAGTATACGATGAGATTGAGGATGTACCGGTTTTTCAGGCTACGTCGTGCAACGGCCCAACCGGAAAGATCCAAAAGGCTTGCACGTGCGCTAGACAGCTCTCAGGCGCTGCCCAGCGGGCCGGCTTTTTGAATTGCACCGTCTATGCCATCAGACGTGAAGCGCTCGTTAAAGCGAACGGTAAGCTCCCCCCGGGTCCAAGATTGCTTTCAGCTAACTTGTTGTAAGCGAACGGCTATGCGGACGCGGAACTGATGAAGTTTTCTGAACAGTCAGGTCCCGAAGTATTCCAAACATTCTACATGGCTGAAGGAGGCGTAGACGGGCAGAACAGCTTCCTGAATCAGCCGCTCCGAAAGGACCATCTCGAGAGCTTCCGCGGGATGTTCATGCAGTGCAACCCTGAGCTCTGGCAGTCGCTGCCGGCGCAGATGCGGTACGAGCTCGAAGAGCAGATTGACGACCTGACTAAGGAGATTAAGACGGCTGACGAAGAGGCCAGTCGAGAGCTCCAAGCTCGACGGCACAAACTACACAAAGAACGGCAGCGGCTCACTCTGGAAGAGCTAAAGAAGCGCCGCCAGAGCCAACCTCGAAATCACCAGTCCCATGGTGCTCACGAACCTAGCCAAGGCGATCGCCACCGCTCTTTCTTTGGCCGCGTCCGCCACATAATGCCTAAACGTAACCGCTTGGCACGTACCTTGTTCCAACCTCCAACCGGTCCCCCTCCGCAGCCCCGAAGGCCGGTCTGCTCTTCGGAACCTCATCGCACTCTATAAGGACGATTGTCGGGTCGCATATCAGCCAGTGCTAAGGCCCATATTAGGCTACTGTCCGATGTCTAGTTGCGCGCGGCCGATTCAAAGGTTAGTCAGTCCCTTCCCGTTTCAACTTCTAATCTATTCGCCGCTGACACGAACTCTTTTGCGTTCCATTAGTATCCCTATTACTGATAGATAGAATCACGTATACCGCTGCTACGAAGCCGATCTCAAAAGGCGATATAGGTTTGCTATATTCTGCTTTAAGCTTAATGTAGCGAGTAGATCACGAGTGAGGCTGACTAGGAGCTCCACTGCCAAGGTCACATCGACAGATTTAATATACCCTCCGGTGCGACCCTATCACCTTCCGCTACGCCCTCGCTTGTGCTGGACACTGCCCTAGATGTCTCCGCAAGTCGCAGCGGCCCGCTGCTCAGCGGATGTATTAGTTCACGAACCGGGCTCGGTGGCTGTAGTATGTCCAGAAATGCATACAGGAAGATATCCAGAGCATTAATCGCACCAAGGCAATCCGATGCCCATATGGTCCTCCGTGCAGCATGGTTCTCGAGTCGAACCAATACGTGTGGCCCCACCTTTAAGATCATCACTCTGTCGACATGCCTAAGGCGGGGAGGAAGCGTCGACTCGATTCGGAGAGCCAATCGGATACTTCAGGAGTAAAGTCGGATGTCGATAAGCCTAAGCCGAAACGGCCGCGGCTCCAAAGCAAGCGACAAACCCCTACTATTAGCCCTAAACCTGATCGGGATGGATGTCACGGGATTAAGTCAGAGCCTCCAAACGACACGCTGCACTTCGTGATTTATTCGGTTACGGACCTCGAGCCTAGCAGCACGGATCTCACCACGCCCGCGACGACGCCGTGCTCGAGTTCCGGTGACGACTTCCCTCCGAATGCGACCGGGACGGCAAGCATACAAGACGCCACCACTGCGGCGTCTCTGCGTGAGCCTTCTCACCCACCCGCGTACGTTGACACCCTCCACCAGATTCATCCTCGCCTCCTCCCTCGACCAATTGTGCCACCCGTTCAAGGTGGAGCGATCTGCTCGTCCCCGAGCCGCACCTCTAGCTCTGCCCCACGCCGGCCGAGCTCGCCGACGGGGTCTGCCTACGGTGTGACCGAGGCAGAGGTAGAAGATCGCGGAAGCCTCGGTGGAGAGCACGTATATCCCTTAGACGACGGACACTCTCTTCGGGATACAGTCACAACTCAGAGTACGTGTCGATTAATTAACATTTGCTGAATAGATCTCTGACTCAGATTTAGAAGCTCCGCGCCCCACGATTAACGACAGTAGCAATGAAGACGACCTCCCCGCTCTTAGAGAGACTCTGCCGAGAACGGAGCCGGAAGGGGACTTGGCGGATGCAACCCTGATCTGCGAAGCCGTCCAGCAAGGGCATCGAGATGTCCCAAGTGGCGATCTGAGTATTAGTGGCTACCACGATGTAATGGCAGTTAAGGTAGGTTGAAGCTGTCTCCTAGAGTATGCACAGCTTGGCTAATCTTAAACAGACATCTGGACCGCCCCTACGAGAGATGCATCTTCCTCCGGCCTCCTAAGCACAATTATATCGACTACGAGAAACGATATTATAGGCAACACTAGAGAGCCTATCGCAGAACCCCGCGCTCCGGCGTGTCTGCCGTCTCAGAAACAATCCGTTTAAGAGCTAGGGCTACCCGCCGCAGCTCTAGATGATGATCAGTGCATCGTTGAGCGATTGTTAGGAAGGCAAGTTGTTCCGCGCGGGAAGGGTAGGCGTAAGAGAATAGTTGCCCAATACTGAGTCAAGTGGCAAGGGTAGTCAGACGAGTACAATAAGTAGGTTGATGAGAACGATATACATAAGGACCTTATAGCGGCTTATAATTCCGTAACTATATAAGCTTAATCTTATTTACATTAGGTCTACGAGACTATACTACTTAGAAGGAGAGGATCTTAAGTGTTTAGTTGCTAATTCGGAGGGAAATTACTAGGAAATTCTCAGGATATATTAAATGCATCTAATTACACCAACCTTTACGCTTATGACCGTATACACTCTGCTTATAGCTTCTTACATACTCTTAATAGAGCGAATCTATACTATACGATAATCTTAATCCTTCTTATTCTATTCCCCTAGTGTCTAGTAGGTCGGTACCGTTATCTCTTAAACGGTCCGTTTAAGACTACTTTGCCCCTAAACACTCGCTTTATAAAGGGAGCCAGAACGGGACCCCTATAAAAATAGATGTCGTAGAGCAGGTCTAGGGTCCAGAAACGGTCCCGCAGAGCCCTCCTTCATTTAATACCTAAGAACTATTCTCTTGTAAATTAGTTTAAAGTTATATAAATAATCAAAGCTAGTGCAATAATAAATATACCCTCCTCTTATATAATAGCCTTACCTCGACTAAGTAACTTAGATCGCGCTAAATAGAGGGCGAAATGCCGCGAAAAGTTATCAGAGTATATTAATAAGATCTACGCTCTTACTTTTCGTATTTTATCTAATACTAATAAGAAACAATAGAAAGCAAGCTAGGAATATCAATTAACCTATCAGAAGTCCGTCTTATCCCACGCATAAAGGACCCTTATTCTTGGCAATCTCTACTAGTAAGAATATATCTCTTCGAAAGGAACCTAAGTAAGCATTCAATTTGCGCTTATGTGGAATTATGTCGAGAAGTTGGTGTTTCGTTTAAAGCTGTGGTAAAAGAGGTACGCAAGCGAAGTTATTACCTGAACGAATATAAAGCTAATTCCAGCACTAGTAAATTCTCTTCACTAGACCAGCAGTAAATTTTACCGATAGAATTGCGGAATTAGAAGCAGAGAATTTAGGATTAATATGCGAGGTGAACAAGTTGAAGGATACCGCTGCGGCAGAGTCAACACTAAAGCGAGGTGCCGAAGAGGCTGCGAATTAGCTTAAGGCAATGCTCGATACAGCTAACTTAGAAAACTAGTACCTAAAGAGGGATATTTAAAAGTAGATTAGTACAGCAGATGAATTTAGAGCGAAGACCGCAGATTCCCACCAGATTGTAAATAAGGCCGCTTTAATATTAGAAAAGTTAAAATCTACACTGCCTTCTATTGTTAATACATAGTAAAAGGTTACTATCGCCGGAATTATTAGTATAGATTAATAAGGATACCACACCGCGTATAAAGACAATTGTTCCGAGTATATCTTTATTACCTATGTGACTAAAAAGCAAGGATAAGCATCTTAAGACGTTATAGCTCGTAGAACACTACGGATCTTAAGAGAATACTCTTAGGACCGTAGATATTATAGAAGAATTCTCGTAGGAGCCTTAGAATTTTCAGAGAAATCGCTTAAGAAATTTCTTTAAATAAATTTCTCTGAACATTTTTCTTTTAAGACTAAAGCGCACTGATCTACGTTGAATCCCTTGCTATGTAAATCAAGTTATATGTCTAAAAGGTAATTAGTTCGATCTAGAAATTAATATTAAAGCATACGTTATAAGAATACGTTATATTATTATATTAAACGCCGAGGTAGTTCGGGTTCTAGTGTTAATCTTCGGTGTGCTCTAAGTTTTATAATGCGGAAAATTTATAGTTCAAGCTAAAGCAGTCTGTATTACCCTACTAGAACTCGGCCTACATTAGCTTAAAGTATAAATAAGGCACGTACGTTATTTTATAATATGTTAAGGCATTGTACTCTAGACGCGACCAGTCCGAAGTGCACACTATATCAAACAGATATAAGCGCAATTATAGTACTCGGAATCTAAAAATAGTTTCGTCTCTATAAGTAATAGAATATTATAGAATCATTCGGAACGACTTTCTAAGGGGTTACTCAGAAGTACGCCTCCTAGGCATATAAAAGTCAGATGAGTTAGTGTTGGAATAACTTCAGTGGAGGAGTCGATGCTGTGAGAGAGAGTCGGCGAGGGCGATGGTGACTGCGAATATGGAGCCCATTTGAGCCCCCTCCGGTGCCTGCCACACCGGGGACGTGGGGGTGGTCAGCGGCTAATTGTAGCCACACCCACCCCAGCCAGAGCCGGGTTCCAATAGGCTGGATGGGAGCCAACAACGAACCCCGGTATGGAGTCCAAAGAGGATCCTGGTTTTTGAGAATGAGAATGAGTAAAAGGTTTCATTGGATTAAAAGGATTTGCACTGCCTCGAATACGGAGTAATTTTAGATATGACGCGTGTGCAAATGCAAGGTAAGCTGCATTGTGAGGTCATCATGTGTTAAAACCGAATTGGGACCCTCGCTAATCCGAGCAGTTTTGGTTCATCGCTTATCGTTCCAGCCGCTCCTGCTTGTCCGGGTCCCAATCTTTCAGCCACTCCCGTCGTCCAGCCACACCACTCGCCCAGCCGCTCCCATCATCCCGCCGCCACTTATATCGTCTATCCTCATGTCCTCCCGTCGCCACACATAGCTTCTACCCTTGATTCGGACATCACTTTTGCGTCATAGCTAAAGATATTGTTAAACAGGATCCCTGTTGCGACAGAGGATCAAAATTCAGCTCTTAGCTGGTTTGAGGCGGAGATCCTGTAGCCGGCGAGGGGTTTGTTGTGCGGAGAAGGGATCACGAGCTTTCTCGACACGGTACTGAGCAGCTGCAAATATATTCCCATTCCTTTGGAAGCCTCTTGGTTTAGTTTGTGTAGTTTGAGTTGTTAAGGTGGGAATAGCTGGGACTGGAGCTTTGGCGGCGGTGATTGCGGGTGAAGGACTGCTGATGAGAGCTGTGACTTGATTTCGTGGAGTGCTAAGCCTAACTCTATTGTAGTATTTGACAAGCATTTGTGCCGCAGAAGCACGTTCCTTCGGGTCGACGACTGCTATTTCCCGAATCTTTGAAATAGCGTCGATATTTAAGGTTATATGTAAAACCGCTTTTTAGATATTTTTAACGGACTTAAATTGATTCGACTTTTGACGAAACTTTCCTATATCCAACGTCTATAACATCGTGACAAAGAGTGACCAAACATTTAACTTAAACGTTTAACCTTTTTTCCGGAACATTTTAAGGGCTATATACATGCGGCTATATACATGCGACTATCGGCAAAGGTTGTGGCATTTACAACGCGGTTGCAGAAACCAAAATCTCTGAGCTGGAATTAATATTGACCGCTTGGTTGTGATACGTAGAAAATGTTCTCTAGCTTTACATCTCGATGAACGATGCCGTTATATGCAAAACAGTCAAGTGCTTAAAGCATTTGCGGAAAGAGGGAGTCCGCAATAAACGTAGAAAAGCCGTCCCTACTCTCGACTATTGACTCTAAAGTCCCTTCTTTTAGACTTATAAATATCTCTATTTTTTGTCCATCCTAGCCTTGTAATATGATATAATTAACGATGTGTGGCTGGAATTTATATCAATTTATGAATATTAAAAGATTGTAGAAGTTTTAACTCACGTGGTTAATATTAGAAAGAGTTTCCATTTTACGTTTTAGTGTATAATATAATTCTTTTTTTTAGTTTTTTTATAATTTTCTTAAAGGACGTGTTAATATTTTAATAGCTATGAACTTCTCTGAGTCCACGTTAATATATTTATGTATAATTCTAAATTACCTCAATCTGAGTAAAAGTCCTATTTTTTCGTATCTCATCCTCAGCTTCCGCTCTCCTAGCGTGTAGATTCTCGTCACCCTTTGAGATGGTAAAACGGTCGACGCTTTATCTATAGTTCGAGTAAGGCGTAGGTTTTCGTCTTAGCCGCAAGGCATACCTTCCTAGCTCTTAACTTTTTATATCGTTTAAGCAGGATTTAGATACTATTCTAATTCGAATTAAACGAAGTTACACCCTACACTACTCATTCCGATTATAGTATTAAGCCCGTTTTATACAATAATTCGACGACGACGTTTATGCTCAAATAGCGTAGTATTGTTACTAAAGACTTGAGTCGTTAGACTGTTCGACTTATCATAAAGCATAACGACTTTAAAATCTAGGTCGATTTTAAAAGAATATTGGACTTTTACGATGCTAGATCTTTTTATAAAAATATTGGTGTTACCATGTCCAAGTATAGCAAAAGTATCGTACGACTTTAAGCGGATATTGAAACCGACGTCGAGAGCAAATACACCGTCAAGCAATATTAAGACGAGGTGGTTGTTGCATGGATAGGCGACGACATCGTGGGCTCGGTCGTTGAAAAGTTTGAGGGAAAATAAAGCAAGCGAATGACGTTAAAGACGAGGCATACTGAACAAAGGATAGAGTAAATGCTGAAATGAGGGAAGGTGAATAGATAAAACCAGAAAAGGAGTAAAAGTATATTCGATTAGTGTAAAGAATACAAATACCAGGCGGATTTGAGTTAAAATAATTGTCATCTGTTTTATAGTCACGAACGAATTGAGTATATAAGCGAGGCGTTTCATGGCTAGTCGTTCGATGCGAGCGGGGTGGTCGAGGATTGTTGGTTGCAATCAAATGTCCCGTAGCCATCAATCGCGGTCGAGAGCTGGCGGCATTTTGAGTCACTCGAATTACACTGCAGCCAAAGCGCTAATACTAAAATAGATTCCAACAGGCCACCCACCGCGAGCACCAAATCCGCCTACTACTGCGACCGCATCTTGCACTTAACGCAATGTAAAGGAAATCAGCGATTTTCATCCTCCATTTTATTCGAAAACAATTTCTCATCCAGACAACCATCAGCACAGAGCTAGTATTCGCCTTCACTTCACCGACGCATTTTTAATTTACGCAGACTTTCTTTCTATATCGCGATTTTTACTTATGCAATCAAAATAAATATTATCCATGGTTGACAATCTTCGAGGGGATGGGTTGGCGAGAGTTTATAGAGTTTTGGACAAGTTGGAGGCGGATCCGCTGGGACTCGATCGCGCAAGAATGCGGTTTAGCCAGTCCCCACCACTATATACATCGAACCCATCGGGCACAATAACTCGATCTACGAGTCTTGAGCTTCCCAGCGACGAGCAGCGACGAAGGGAGCAGCGGGAGCAGCAATTCCAGCGACGGCGCCAGCTTATGGACGAGCGTGCGGCCTCACTTCCTCAGAAACAATTCGAAGCCGAGGTAAAAGAAGAAAGAAAGCGGATTTGGAAGACAGATCCGCGTACGAGAATGTATACGTATCGGAGTATCGATCGCACCTTCGACGAAAACGCTCGTGAAACGGTCAAGAAACGCTGGATCAAGCAAGGCATTTGGAAGAATAAGTGGGATAACACGGCGGATGGACTATGGAAGCATGAAGAACCGCTCGAGCTTGAGTCTGAATTAGAGACGGACTCAGAGGCAGGACCCTCACCTCCTCTTTTTTCCTTTTTCCTAAAGCCGCAGCCGAAACCGAAGCAACCGAAGAACGATGATAAAAAGCGACGGATTGCAAAGTAGCGAGTTATACGGGAGCGTGAGCGCGAGGCTTCTCGTTTATATCATTAGTTCGTCTATTAGATATCGAAGGAGCGCGAACGAATCCAAGACGAATCCGCTAATGGGGAAGGTGCTAACGCCGCCGACATTAACACAAGGGTATACGAGAATGTTAAGAATACTTGGACAAAGCGAGGGATTTGGAACGGAAGATGGGGTATATTATTTGGGATGTCGTGGAAGCATAAATGGCTTTTTGAAGAGGAAGCCGCCGACAATCCTGCTCCTGTTCTAACGAACTCGCTCGTAAACGGCAGCTATAACGCGGGGGAGGCACCAAGTAAACGTATTTTTGGATTTTTTTTTCCCGTTGCGTTAAATTATCGCCAAATATCTGGCATTATGAATACATCTTAGTAAGGATCGTCTTCGAATGTTAATTCCGCCAGATTAAAGAATAGCGACGCCGAGCGCTTTCCTTTTGCATCGAATTCATTTCGCCCTAAAACGGGTAAACGGGTTCTTCGTTTTATAACGGGGCAGGTATTACGGCCAAATAAGAAAAAGCTTTTCTATAAAGATGGGTAGCCGCAGCTAGTAGCAAGTGCATTTTTTGGCCTAGTCCATTTATTAAAGGTATTAAAAGCTACCGGAAAGAAAAGGCCGGGACTTTAGCGACGGCCGAACGTTTTTTAAGAGATGTCCCTTGGTGACCCACTATTGTTATCTAGCCTAGATATTGTTGAACTACTACCCCAGACTGCTAGCATATCTCTACGAAGAAGCAAACGGCTAGAGCTGCCAGAACTTAGCACGGCTAAAGGCCCGACCGGGATTACTTTTATGGATTTACTGAAGAGTATAGCCTAATTAAGGCTAAAGCGGAAGGTTGCAGGTAATCCGATATTTGTGGTTTTAGCGAATTCCTAGGGAATATCCAAGAGATAGCGGTCAAGTACGACACGGGGAAAGGCGAGAAAGGGGTAGCAATTAGATGGTAGTTCAATTCATTTTTTTGGACGAGTGACGTACAGTATCTACTATAGTGACTTAACTACCGCATTGCTCAGGGTAGTCCAAAAACGATAATGAAACTTCCTGCAGTCGACCATATCGTGACTACCTCTCCATTAGGCAACATTCCCTCACTTATTGACTTGGCCAACTCGTTATACCTCTGGATTAATACTTCCAGCTGGTTATGGCTGCTAGTGAAATGATAGGTTGGTGGTACGGAGTTGGAGCGCTGACTCTTTGCATGCTGGTTGTTGCCTCGTCGCGATGCATGAATTACAGGGAATTGGGAACCATTGATTTCGATGCCATATGACACAACTAGAAGTCAATACTCCTTTAAAGACTATTATGATTGGTAGATGCTAGCCGTGTTCCAGTTCAAACCCTAATAGGCATCGATACCTACCAGTGGCTGCCTAGGTTATCAAACCAAGACCAACTCCTACTCCTCCACATCTCCAAGAAGCCAAGGGTCTTCTAATAGCTCAGAGGGCGACGCTCTCGATTCTGGCGTCCACCGGACCATTTTGCGGACGAAGTCGAGGAAGCCTTTCTTATTGGAAACCTCGAGATTCCTCTCGGAATCTTCCCAAGACACTGATAGGATAGGATTCAGACACTTCCAGTTGCCTGTCGTATACATATTAGGTTGGCGGATGCACATCCTTGGAACCAAGTACTTACCTCTGTCATCGAAGTAGACGGAGCTGCACTCGTTTCGCTGGAGGAACTCGAGGGGAGGAGGTCCCAAAAGACCAACTATACTAGCAAGGTGGAAGCGGTTCCCATACTTGCCAGTCTCGGGGTCAAGCCCATCGAACATGCGTCTGTTCTCAAACATGTCCCAGACCTAGAAGCTCTCATTAGTTTCGTGCTATTAGCCACATGCAGGAAATCTCGCACCATGACTCCGACGTTCCATATATCCACAGCATAGCCCCAGGGCATCTCTAGAATGACTTCGGGAGCCCGGTAAGGATCCGGCTGGATGTCATGGCAGTGCTTGACCTGTCCGTTCCGAGCGAGGGAGAAGTCACACAGGATCGGGCGGCCAAACCTTATTGGAATACCGAAGTTTGCGCTTTTGTAGAGATTGTACCCATTGACACTTTTGTAGAGGCTCGATGCCGCGATTTCTTTTGTGTCCAGCTGTTCCACGATAGATGAATCGACCAAACCCAGCAAGATATTCTCTTCTTTTATATCTGGCACTCTGTCAATGTTTTCCAAAGCATAGTGAGAGGAGCGACCTGACCTGTGTGGATGATATGGCACTCGCTATGCAAGAAATCTAGTGCGAGCAGCAAATGGATCAAAATTTGCTTGAGCATTGCCTCGGGCAGTTTACGATCTGGGCGAGTATACCGGAGGCTCAATATGTCGTTGGAAAGGACCTCGTGAACTAAACATTGATGGGGATTCCCTGCTCTGCTCGTGACAAAGAAGGAATCCTGAATGGTGCGGACATACATCTTGCCAGGATGGTCGGGGTTCCCCGCGGTGCTGAGATGTTTGTAGATGGCAGTTTCGTTGTCAATCTCATCTTCTGCAACCAAATCGTGGGCGTAAATCTTCAGTGCGGCATATTTATTCGTGCTGGTATATCTGGTCAATGTAGGCTCCACCTCACGCCCTCTGAGTTTCACTCACGCCAGGTTACGACAGCACCATATCGTGCTTGCTGATCCGAAGCCAAGTTTTGCCACGACCTTATACTTTTCATTGATGACTTCGCCCAAGGTCATCGGGTAGAACTTTTCGAAGCCCACCTCCCTCTCTTCTTCAAACGGAGTGACCGAGGATGACATGGAGCGCGATGTAACGCGGCCTGCGCGACATAAGAAGGAGAATGAAATAAGGCGAGATCTATCCAAGACTGGCGTTCGCAGCCGCAAGAATATACGAGGACGAGAAAACATGGAAATCAAAGATTTCTAGTCTACAGGTAAGTAATGGCGAAGGTGGATGGCCAGGGGCGACTTCGGATAGGTAACCGCTGCACTTAATAATTGTGCAGCCCTGAGACAATTTACGCGCGCGCTCCAGCGCATCTTGGCGCTTCAAATTAGTTCATCTGGCAACAGTCACATTAATAACTTTGACAGGGGATATAGGCCTATAGATGTCGACTTTCGAGGATCTCGCCTTGGAGCATGTTGGGTCATATCCTTCGCTCTCTACAAATCGAACAAGCTGAACAGCCGGAATCGTGTGGCAAGTGGTCACGTTCACGATGACGGCACTAGACATGTCAATTTCCCCTCCAAGTACAAGCAATATCGTGCCATTACGGGAATGGAGTACAAAGCTCCGGGCAGCGGCACGTCTGGCCAGTCCAGCTCTGGGAAATCGAAGTCAGGTGGCTCCGACCTCACTTGGAGGACAAACGAGCAGACCAAGTATGCAGAATGGTGGGACGGCACGAAATGGGTTGCAGGAGATTGGTCTGATGAGTATCAAAAATGGTATGCTTATTACAATGGCGAATGGTGTTATTAGTAATGTCATACATGGGATTTGAGAACATTTGTGTTTGCGGGGGTCGCACATATACTTGATTTCATGAACCACATTCTATCTTTTGTCCTGAGCGTCCTCAAAAATAGTTGAAGCCAATTTGAATGTGTAGTTACAAGTCTGTAGGCACAGAGAGCTTGACCTACTGCCCTGCCCACCCGTGGGAGGAAGCTTATTTGACTCTGCACTGTACCATGGTCCAGCGCGTGCGTACTCCGGCCGGAGTCCTGCCTGGGAACTTGCCCTCTTCTTTGTATGTCAGCAAGAGCTGCTCGTCCAAGTCTGACCATGGGCTCTGCTTGCTCGTGCTCAAACAATCCTGCTCGGCCTCGCTCGAACATCCGTCATCGTCGCTGCTAGACTGGGGATCGCCATCACTTGAATCGTCATCACCGCTGCTTGACGGTTTGACCTTCTCTGATACAGGAGCCCCAACGTCACTGAAGCAATGACCGCTCCTCCAATTCAAGAACGATCGGCCTCTGTACGGGATCGCTTTTTGAATTTTGTCGAACAGCGCACCCGGATGGTCCCTTCACTCCGGCTAGGGAGGGCAGCAAAGATGTATTCCCACGAACGGCCTTCGTTCCACATCTGGAGCAGCTTTATATCCTCTTCTTCTGTCCATAAAATCTTGCTCTTCTTTGGCTTCAACGGTGCTTGATGTATCTTGGAATGTGCGGCAGCGTCGTGATTGATGTCCAATGCTACGGGATTAATCGGTAAGTGAAGGTGTTCTGAGATCGATGGCAGTTTGAACTCAAGATTGTACGTCATATCATCCCCGATCTTGGTGCGTTTAAGAAAGCCTTGGAAGGGCCATTCCTGAGAAGTCCGTGAGGCACGGTGCTGCTCGTCATCGACGAAGGTCGACGAACATCCGTGATCATCCTGAGGCTGCGCCTCGTCAATCTCATGTCTGGTGGTCGACGGCGACCCCAGGGGGGGAGACCGTCGGAGGTGGAGAGGCGGAGTCACGGCAGGCGCTGAGCGTGACTTTCGTCGCTTTGCAGGTCGTGGGTCCTCGTCGCTTGTATCGCGTGTGTTATGATTGTCATCGGTGTTCACGGAATAGTGGATTTCGCTGCTGATCTCTGTATGCATGTCTTGGTGCCCCCGGCAGAGGGACTTCGAGAAGCTCATGAGACATGGTGGTGCCTGTTATCGACGGAAGTCGGCGGGAACTTGTGATCAGCCTGTAGAGGGAGGAAAGCTGTGCAATATAAGTGCACGATGATATCAATGATGCCATGGTCATTGTACTAACGGGACCTCTCAATACGCTCCGTGATCTTCTTGTCCTTCGTACACCACTGCTCGAGGTCTTGTTTCATTGCAGCTCCCTCGCCGGTAGCGGACTTCGTAGCCTCACGTAACTCAGCAGTCGCCTTACTTCTTCTCTCTTCCAATTCTCCAAGTTCTCTACTGAGCTGCAGCCGTGTGCTTCGTGGTAGGCGATCAGCTGACATTTTGGCAACGATCTGGCATTGCTCGGTGTCGAGGGTATCAAGTGTTGCAATAAGCTGACTTTGCTCCGCCAAGAATTTGCGGAGAGCCTTACATCTCGCTGTAGCAGTATCCAGGCTTGGGCGTCGATATTTCCGGAAAATAATCGGCGCTAATCAGAATCGTATCGAGTATACGATTATAATCGATTAATATATCGGCCAAAATAACCTCAATTAATCGATTACTTGAGTAATCGGGAAACGTGACCTATATGTGACCTGTAGCCAATGAAAATCCTCCAAATTTACTAGTGCGGTGTCATAATGCAGAAACTTCAAACGCCATAACTCACTTCCATCAATAGTTTTATCAACCATATTAGCCCTACACGTCCTCAACATGTCGTATCAACCTTCTGTATCCTTTCCAGCTCTGCCTACAAGGCGTACGCTCTTTCCTGGTCGTCCAGAGACTTCTCCAAAGCGTAGTAGAGCGCCTACGAGGTCGGACGAAAACCAACCAACTCTCCCACCTCATGCGCGTCCTAAGAAGAAGTGCCCTCCCCTCAAGCCCTCTGGAGCGTTTATGTTTAAAGGAACTAATCCTCTTTATGTTCGTACGACTTTTGAGCCTGATCACACCAAAATGACGATAAGTTGTGGCTATCCTGGATGCCACGACTTTCCTCCCAAACTAGTCGATCGAGGGCTACAGTCTACCAATAATTATCGCTCCCACTACAAGAAGTATCACCCTCGAGTTCCTATTACAGCTGCAGAAGTCTTAGACGTTACTCAACGCACTAAGAAAAGCGATCAGTTACCATCCGAAAAACCTGTCGAACAACAATCTCATGACGAACGATACCGCGTACTGCTTTTAGCTTTCATCCTAAAAAACAACCTCTCCTTCTCTCTTGTCGATCAACCCGAAACTCGCGACTTAATATCCTTTCTTTCGCCCACTACAAAACAGGTTTCTCGCAAAGTTATGATGATAGATATGAAAAATCTGTACGCGAAGGGAAAGGACAAACAACAAGCTGTTTTTATGGAGCATATTCGAGCTAGTAGACGAGTTGCGCTTACAACTGATGGATGGTCTGGTAACAATAAGTTGGACTATATTGCAGTTACTAGTTATATTATTACTCGCAGTCTTGAGCACATATCTCTACTACTCGATATTATTGAGCTAGAAGATGCTGTTTATGACGGGTTGTACTTATGCCAAAAACTCCTAGTGGTTACAGACGACTAGAGTATTACTAACTCTATTATCTCTATTACTAGAGATAATGCATTGCTAAATAATGTTATGTTGGACGAGTTTGAAGCTATTGTTGCTAAACGCAAGGAGCAAATGGAAGTGGAAGACTAGGCGTTATACTTTCTTAAGTTTAGTCGCAAGGAAGGGGACGTTCGATATTGCGCTCATGTTTATAACATTGCGATCCAAGCTGGTACGTGTTTTATGTTTTAATGCAATGCTTATTCGATCGCTTTTTTATATAAATTTATATGGCAAAGTGAAATCCAAGACATTGTATAAAGACAATTTGTCATTGTATTGCGATATTGGCGAGTCATTAAATGCTAATTGCATTATAGGTTTGAAAGCAGTCAAATCAGAGGCTCAAGCTTCTCGGCGACACTACGCTCATACGGTTAGTAAAGCGACTGCTCCTCCACCAGACGAACGCTCTTCTCTCTTCTTATTCTGTTGCTTAGCCCTAGTATTCAAGCGTAGGAAGCCTCGACAAGAGCTCCAGAAAATGTGCAAAATACTAGGTATTACTTTCCTCGAATTAGTCAACGATATGCCTGTTCGATGGAATTCTACCCATAAACTGGTCTCAGCAGCTGTCAGAATGGAGCGTCCGCTGCGACTAGTACTGTAAGAACAACAATGGGACGACTCAGTACGAGAGCACCTTACTCCCACGGATACTGATTGGGCTGCTTTAAAGGAGCTAAAAACCTTCCTGGATATCTTTGCTCGTCCTACGGTACAGTCGCAAGCTGAAAAATACCCCACATTGCACAATGTTATTCCTGACTACCTTCATATGATACGCCAGCTACGTATCCATAAAGCTCAAAACGACCGGCCCTTCCTCAAAAAGGCGGCAACAGCATGTTACGACTCACTTCTAGAGTACTACAAGAAGAGTATGCAAACACGTCATTCTTTTATAGCTACTCTCTGCGATCCTAGATACAAGCTTAATTTGATGGCATATATCTACGATGCCGAGGGTGGTACAGATTCCATTCCTTATAAGAAGTCCAAAGCGCACTTCAACAACGCCTATAGTCAGTACAGACAACGCGCGACGGCTATTGCTGCAGACGTCAGACGTAGAGAGGAAATACGACTAGACGAGTTAAGTGGAAGAGCGAATCCAGGAGCAGCTGCTGTAGTAGAGGATGACCTTGATGACTAGAGGAATGATCCGCGGCATGGTTATACTGAGCACGTGGCCTCTCAAAGAGCTGATTAGCCTCTTATTCCCTTTTCTTCTGAGCTTGATCGTTGGTTTAGAGAGCCTGTTCTTGATCCTAATACTTCTCATGCTGATATGAAGTCATATATAGCTAGTAAAACTCACGAATATCCTATTATTTCTCAAATGGCACGTGATTATTTGGCGATACCAGCAACATTAGCACCATCAGAGCGAGCGTTCAGTGCAGCTAGTAACCTAATTTCTAAGAAAAGGACAAGAATATCAAGCGAGAACGTACGTTACGTGCTTTGTTTACGGAGTTGGGGGTTTATTGTAGAAGATGATGATATACCTGATATTTTATTCGACGATCATAGAGAGATTCAAGAGCCTAGGGAGCCCCCTTTTGCAGTGTGGGGGGAAGACAGTCTTGCTTAGATTGCGTACTAGTTTAGATTATCCAATATAACCCGATTTTTCCGATATATGCGATATAATCGGCTTCGTACTCAAAATCGTATCGAGTTAAAAGCGCTTCTTCGGATCGATATAATATCGTCGAGATAATAATCGACTCGATATTATCGAAAAAATCGGAATCAGCCCAAGCCTGGCAGTATCCCACCACATAACTTCGGCGTCAAAGTGGCCTTTGGACTCACGCGTTGTAACTCTACGTGTATTTGACTTCCGTCGGCCCTTGGGTTCGTCATCAGAAGCCTTGCCCGAATCATCAGGGGAGTTAGGTGGGGCAGTCACCGGAAGGCTGGCCATGTCTTCCTTTGTAAGCCGAGGACGTTTGTTCGGTTTCCGTCGGCATTCGACTTCGTCATCAGTTGTATCGATCGAACCTGTAGAGGATTTGGGCTGGGAATTGACTAGAAGAGTAGGTACGACCTCTATTTCATCTTCGGAATCAGAACCGAGGAAGATCACTAATAGAAATTCGAATTAGCTCAATCTGTCTAGAATGCAGCAAACGCAACCCACCAGTATTTTCAAATGCTTCCGCTCGAACTCTCTTCCGGCGCGCATCACGAGTGCTCTTCGGTTGGTCTGATTTATGCTTGTTGGGCTTGGAGGAAATTCCCTTGACGGTATCAGAAGTTTGTTGATTTATCGATAGGTTTTTTTTGGTAGAGATAAGTGGACTGTCTTTGGCCTGTGTAGGACCGAAATTGTCGTTGGTCTGGGTATCCCCGAAGTTATCAAAAACTACAGTGTGCGGGTCTGGGTCTGAGGTGGCCTCGGTATTGTTTATTGAATGGAACCTTGCGAATGATATTAGATATTGGATTAAAATTGACTAGAGAACCATACCTGTTGTATCCGATGCTAAGCTGACTTCCTGGCAAATGTTGACTTTTGTCTCCCCCCAATGATCATCCTCTGACCCGGGATTCCTCAGAGTGGCTGGAGGTTGACTGTGACGAAGGGAATACTTCTTTGGCCCCCTGGTAGTGAGGGATTCCATATCTGAGTCTTTGTCAATTGAAATGACTCTAGCTTCTTCCGAGTTTGCGGATAGCGGTCCTCCTGGGGTCTCTGTCGTTGGGGCTGTAGGCTTCACTGACATGACTTTGCTGTCACCTGCCGGGAAATGGCGGTCCTCTTGTTCGTTATCGGCGATAGAAAAGACATCGGATGGATCTGTATGCTGCCCGCCAAATCTCATCAACCGAGCGGTCGAATAGGAGGTATCTTCACTCTACTTAGCCAACTCCAATCTGAGAAGGATGGGAATCTTACCATCAACTTTGACGAGTCCTTCACGTCTGCTCTCCAATACGATGCTCCGTCGAGCTGCAAATTCCAGTAGTCCGGCAAACAAGCTTACTGTTTGGTTCCTTCTAGTGCGGCTGTCGCGTGACATGGCTTGAGAAAAGGGCATAACCTGTATATTGTGGGCCCATTCCGAGATCCAGTGATCGCCGTATTCTTGGGACGTTTGCTTTGTAGGGTTTGCTGGGCCGAGGTCCATTGCCAATCCATAATCGAGAAAAGACATGTTTGAAAGAATACTGAAGAATAATGAACTTGGCAGAAACCAAGGGACGGGTGTTGGTTCTAAGAAATGGGGAAGGGAAAAATAAAGATTGATGAAGATGAAAGACTGATGAAGATGGAAGATGGTGATACGTTTATCTATTCCTCTGTTGAAGCAAACGCCAGGCACCAGCACGTCCATCTGACACATCCTCTGTCTTGAGCCACCTCCTCACCGATGAAGCTACGCAAGCCTCTCGTCTTTCCCTGACTGCAGGATTCGCATCATGCAAAAGGGAGGGGCAAGGCGCTGCCATAACCTGATCCTCCGGAGGGCACTGTCCCGGTAGCCTCATTCACATCATGCTTAACGGCATAACGAGTTGAGCACTGCTGCAAAGTCCTTCCTCGGCAGATCCTGTCCTAGAAGTTAAAGGTGCAGAGTAACAAAACTGCCTGAGACCCCGCTGTAAATCCTTCCTCTAGGATATCCTCCTGTTTCACCAGATCACCGCCATGCTCATGAAGGAGGCGAGCTGAGCTTTGGCATAATCCCCTGCCTCCGTATCAGCTCGAGTCTGCCTCACACTGGCTCATTGAGGGAATGCTCAGAGGGATCAGGCTAGTGCATGAACGTCCTCTGCTTAATGATGATTCTGCACGCACAGCCTACCATACTCTCTTGATGCAGCTTCGTCACCGTATGAACATCACAGCGCTCGGAAGGAGCACTGAACCTTGGTATGGTCTCTCCTTTGGTGTCTATCCTTAATGCAACTTTGCAGCCGACATGATTCTGCCTTGCCACGCTTTGCATGAATTTGTTAGCTATTCAGGGGCAGACCGAGCCTTGATACGGACCCCTTCCTCAACGCAACTCCGCCACTTGATGGATGACGCCAGTTGCAAGTTTCCTTGCTGTGCATAAATTTCCCAGCGCTGAGCAGACAGGACATTGGCAGGATCCTTCGGCGTAACTCCCTTGCTGCATGAATTTCCCAACACTCAGAAACCATACCCTTCATCCCCTTTGCATCAGTCTCAAGACGCTCAGGAATCACGTCAGCCGTCGTATACCCAAACCCCTCTGATCAATGCAACTTTGCCACCGACGTGATTCTGCCTTGCCATGTTTTAGATTTCCCCGGTATTCAGGAGCGAATCTTGATGCAAACCCCTCCCTCGTCGCAACTCCGCCACTGGATGAATCACGCCAGTCGTGGTACTGGCCCTGCTCTGCATGAATTTCCCAGCTATACAGGGCAAACAAAAGTTGTATCATCTTCCCGGGCGTAACTTCGTCCACGCATGAATTTCAAATGCTCAGGAACTACGCCAATTCCGAGACCCCTCCACCAGTGCAACTTGCCGCCGAGATGAGTCTGCCTCGTGTTGCTTGCGTGGCTCTCCTGCTGAACCTAACCATGACCTTCCCTTAGCCCAGTCTCGCCGCTGCATGAATCTCACGACAGCTAACAGGTGCACCAGTAACCATAAACCCTTCCATCAAAGTAACTTTACTGCTGAGACGATTCTGCCTTGCCTTGCCTTTGCCTGCATGAAATTCTCTGCTCCTCGTACAGACGGAGCCTTGGTATGGATCTTCCCCTGATGTGATTTCACACCTGCACGAACCTCACCATGCCCATTAAGCACACCAGCTGTCGTAACCCTCGATACGACCGCAGTGCCGCGCCGATGTTGCCTGGTCTTGCATGAATGGTACCTTGCCTAGGAGAGGCACCGGACGTTGTATTCCCATTCCCTGGCACAACCCTGCTGGTAAGAGGATTGCACCTCGTCTCGCATGAATGGTAACATGTTCGTGGGGAGCACCAGACGCCGACACCTCCCAAGATTTGTGCTGTCGTTTTTTCGGACTTTTGAAACCATACAGAAATATCTTTCGACGGTCATTGCAGAGCAGTATCGTGCGTATTTGAGTACGACTTCTTGTGGCAGAGGAGTTGAATGGGTGGTTAACGGATTGACGCGATGTGTTCGTATACGATGAGGTTGAATTTGTGAAGTTCGGTAAAGTTGGGAGGTGCGGCTCTGGCTGATGGGGATCCAGGATTGGCTCCGAAAGAATCCTTGACTGACTTTTTCCAATTTTAGCTGGCGGCAGTTGTAGCCGAGGAGCCGAAACAGGTCGCCTTCGACGCTAGTCCATCCACCATCGCTCTCCTTCGACTCACCCTTGCTCTCACCAAAAACTGCCAGTAAAGCAGCTCTGCTCACCTTTCCGAACAGAAACAGATTTTCTTCATGTCAGGATTGGCGTGTGATAATCAGCTGATCTTCTTTGGAAAGCCGCATGCAATAGAGCCGCGAGCACAACCTGAATAGGAAACGCGTCGTCACGAGATGAGTCACGAGCCATGTGGATACAGCGGACCAATAATAGCCTTAGTTCCATATTACATAAGCCTTCCGCTCTAACAACGCGAACAAAATCTCCGGCCACCCGTTCATCCCCTCATTCCCAGGCCACAAACAATAGCCATCAGTTACAATTGGAGACTGTGTGTTTGGAACCTTCTTGCGCACCTTAATATCCCCTTTGTTCTTTTAGTGATCACTTGGTGATCGCAGCTCGACTCCAACAACGAGCCCTGACACAAGTCTTATCTGCCTAAGTGTCACGCCACCGTTGCTGGTCCTCAGCAAACATGTCACCGGAAAAGGGAGTGTTCTTCTATGCCAAGTTCAATCTATCTGCCCTCCTCCACCTCGCAGGACAGATTCGAGATACGCTATGCTCTTGCGATGAATCTAAGCGGCCAGAGAGCGGAGCCCTAAATTGGGCAATTGTCCTTTCGTTTGAAGACGGCGTGGAATGGATCTTTCGTTCTCCTCGAAGGTGCCACGACATTTCTCCGGAGACTACAGCAAGGTTGCTTGAAAGCGAGGTCGCAACTATGAAATATGTCAAGCTGAATAGCTCAATTCCTGTTCCAGAGGTTTTCGATTATAGGTACGGTCATTAGAGTGCATGCTAGACTATCAATACTGACTATTACCAAAGCTGTACTGGATCTAATACGATTGGGATTCCTTTTATTCTTATGAGCAAAGCTCCCGGTTACGCACTTAGTCATTTTTCCTGGAATGCTCGTCCAGAGGGGATAGTCTCGTCTCGCAAACCACTTCCCTGCCTTAAGAGAGCGAACAAGGAGAAGATAATGAAGCAACTAGGTGTAATATCCTCACAGTTGTTGAATCTGCGGTTCGATAAGATAGGGTCACTGTTCGAGGAAAATGGAGAATATCGCATTAAAAAGTGTCTCTCGCCTGCACTGGTTTGGCACGAGCGAGACTCTTTAGACGATGACGTCTTACGAGGCCCATTTCAACACACCCACGATTACTACGAATCGCAACTTTCAGCATTTCTTCTTCATGTCAAAGAGCTTCCGCTAGAGCAGCACGCCTTCTTCGCGCCGATCCCAGAACTCAGAGAATTCGAAACACTTCTGAGCTACCGATCTGCAGTTAGTCGATGGAATGATTTTGTTACTGTGGGTTCAAAAATCGACGGTAGTAAGAATAGATTGGATTACTGCGTCGCTGGGCATTTTCTGCGCCAAATGATAACTTTGATTACCCAGCAACCGTTTGCGATCTCAGGCGATTTTGAGAATGGATACCCTCTCTCCCATCCAGACATCAGTACAAGCAACATCTTCGTTGATAGTGATTTCAATATCACTTGTGTCACTGACTGGGCATTCTCCTCCACTGTTCCTATATCGACACTTCTGGTGACTCCAAGCCTCCCTCACCCAAGAGATGAAGTTGACACGACACTAGTTCCTACTTTCAGGGCCAGTTTCACTGATCACTTTCTTCAGGGAAAGGATATCAAGCTGAACCCTGAATTCTGGGATTCCACCCGGAGAGCGTGGCTATTTTTGCGGCTAGTGACTCTCGATAGTTTGCAAGACTACCGTTATTTCACAGAGCTGTATGTGTCGGTGCATAAACCAGAGGATGATATAGATGTTCCTAGGCTTTTCAAAGACGTACAAAAGGAAGAGGAATTTGTAGAGCTGGCTACGACGCTTGCGGAGGATGATCGTTCAGCAGATGAGATTCAAAGAGATGAAGAGGAATACTTTCACTATTCGCGTTCGGAGAGAGAAGCTATAGCGAGGAAACTTACAATGGTGGCAGGGTTGAGTGAGGGGTTTGTGGCGGATAAGAGGTTATGGCAATGGATTGAAGAAGCGATAGCATAGGCCGCTCTGTATTATTAGAGGCTGATGGCTAGTATCACATCTACAGACTACGTCAGCGCCTATCTACTCACCTGCTTTCATCATGTATAAGTATTATCCCCTGAAGATGACACTGCTCGGCAGAGGCAGTTCGAATCCACAGGGGTGTGACGCATACCTGACTCGAGGATCGCAGAGCCGGCGATACCGGGGCTATCGTATCAAGAGAGTGAGCCTTTGAAAGAGGAGGGTGATGGATTCTTAGGGGGGGGGGGAGGAGGAGGAGAGGGATGAGCAAGGTATAAAGGGAGAGGAACGTTGCGTCAAGGAAATTGCATTTGTGTAAAGTTTAAGGGAAGGAATAGAAGGGGAAAGTGGTGGCTGTTTTGTATTGTTTGAGCGTAGATTACATATATTGGAGATGTTCTGTATTGATTAAGCACGACACTTTGCAAATGAGAACTGAACTGAGAACATTTGGAATGAAACTGGATTTTCTGGATCTTGTGTTGGAAGGGTTCTCTATCTTTAGCCAGAATTAATAAACCCTCCAAAGGGAGGAATTGTCGAATCCCACTGGTAATATGCACCAGTATCAAACAGCAGCATCCAGATGCTTGGCCATTCCAGCGACCTCGAGGGTGCACAAGCCGACAATCGTGCTACGGGAGACGGATGATGAAGGTTAAGAGCGGTATCATGATGAGATTGACGGGAGCCAAGAAAAACTGCAGGCGCTGAGAACGCAAAAGGCGCCCAGATGCGGAAGCAGATGCTCAGCAAATTTCTCCAACCGTAAAAGGCAGGCAAAGAGCCTTACGAACCCGGTCAAGAGATGTATTGTTTCGTGCGAGCCTTTCGCGGCTTAGGTTTATGATCAACCTCCCTTGGCCCTTCGACAGCAACAGCGTGGCGTGTTCGGGCCCGAGTCTTCCTTTGACCATGCGCATTCAAGTCAACATTTTCCCCAGACTCTGTAACAGTTGTAACGGTTGTGGCTATTTCTATGTCCTGCGGCTTGTACCACCGAGAGACGTAGGTAAGGATGCCGCATATCGCAAAGGCTAATGTGATCAGCTCAAGCTGGGAAAAAGCCAGGCCTCTTCTGACTCGGACTAAGATCGAAAGTAGTAATGACGAGATCTGAACTAGAGCCACGGCCTTTGTGAAGAAGTTGGCTTTAATCTTGTCCTTGATTTCTTCCTCGGAGAGTTGAGGCTTTGTAATGCTTCTCCAGCATTTGGAAAGGTGAAATGTAGTCAGAGTCAGAGTTTTTGGAGGATCCTCCCTGGTATACAGGCGAAAACCACCCATATTTGCGTAGTAGGAGTGCGTCAACTTCCATTCAAACGTATCATCAGGCTTTACCTGCTTTCTGTAGTGGCGCCACCAAGGATACTTAACATGCACGCCGAGTATCTCTTTCATGAATGCCATCGATTTCCAGGCCATGACGAACTCAAAGATTGCGTGAGCCATAAGGAACTCCGGGAAGAAGATCGTCAGCACCGCCCACTTGCACTTGCGCAATATCTTCGACCAGAATTTGTCGTCTAAATTTGGGATGTTGAGATGCTGGAGACTCCATGTGCAGGCCAATATGGTGAAAATGCAATTTTCAATGATGGCAAGTGTTCCCCGGCGGCTCGGGTTGTCTTGCCAACCAACCGGCACATCTTTGTTGCCCCGAGAAGATTCGGTGATGTTTCGTGCCGCGGACGGTACGAGACAGAATGCGGTGATTAGAAACGGGTAGTAAAGTATCGGTGACCCCATCATCTGCTTCTAGCGGAGTCGCTTCTGAGAACTTAGAATCACGGTTTGGAGGGCCAAGCAAACGGCGGTAGGCCAGTAATTATATTGGGACTGGAGCACATTATTATCCCTCAGAA